TAGGTTCTCATGTTGACTCTACGTTCCTGTAGCAGTGAGCGATATACATAGGGTCAGTGGGGCAACTCTGGGATTGTTAGGGGTTATGCAAGGTGGTGTGGTTGTTTTTGATTCCGCAGTCCCCCTCTCTCCCAGTATATTAGGGTCAACGGGGCGACCCTGGGACTGTTTGAGTTCTGCGAGGTAGTACGGTTGATTCAATTCTGGGGTTCCACTCACCCCTTCAGACCGACAGGAGTCACTCAGGGGAAGATTGAGTGGCATTTCACTCTATACTTGAAATTCTTCCTTAATTCCTGCAGGCAAAAACATCCTCTGTCCAGTTTCAGGGTTAGCCCATGCCATACTTCAAGGGTCTGAGCTGTAGTGCGTGTGGTATCCACAAGTTCAGTTCCCCAACTTTACCATCGAAGCATCACAGTCAATGACAGTGCAGAGTGGCACTGCACTCTGGGTTGAAATTTCCCCCACACGCTGGATCTGGGCATACCTACACCATGCGCCCAGTTTCCCAAGCATATCTACTGAGCGACGTCGACCCTCCACCAGTGCCTATCATAGACTTCACCGACCCCCCAGTATGGCTCAAGGCCCCTCGCCAAGACAGCCCTATGCCTCCCACGCTGGCCATGCTGACTGCCTCACTTTAAGTACCACTGTCTTCAGATGTTCTCTCAACCAGTGTACCGGGGCATGACATGGACACTATCCCCTCCCAGGCCACTGCCCTGTTGTTATTCGGGGTGGTCCTTGCAGAGGCAACGCAGGGTGTCACGGGCACAACACTGCCCGTGTCCCTGGCAGCGGAACCGCAGTTGTTCACAGCCCTTCCTAGTCATGCAGCATGACTCACATCCCTTGCATTGAGATGACCCTACCTTGCCCACGTGCCACCCCCACTGAGCACCCCACACCTTGAACTGCTATCTGCAGTCACTCTTCATGGGGGGCATCCAGGTGTGGATAGACACTACACACTTCGCCACCAAGTCCTCTGTCATCCACCTTTCAGCCCTACGCCTGTGCCTCGATCCATCTGTCCATGGGGTCATCCAGGTGTGCAGTAGGCACTACACTGCACCGGACTGCCCTAAGTCGTCTTCTGTAATGGCCTCTGCTGAAGGCGAGTCTGTGCCCCGCATACTCAGTGCGGCTCAAAGAACAACTCCTATCAGAACTCTACACACCAGCCCTCTGACCAGCACCTGAGACCTCTGCGCTGGGGGCACCTAACCATGAAACAGAGAAACGTGGTACCTGGGGCGACTCCCCATCATTCTCTGGGCTATCCTGGTGAATACGATTCTAGACTACTTACGACCAGTCTACCGGGTGCAACTTTTCTACTTGTTCATGGAGGCCTGCAGGAGATGAGTCCATGACTCACTCACAGACCCCCCAACGACCGTCATAGGCCTGATCCCACCAATGCCCGAGACTTCGTAATCAGGGCACCTAGGTGTGAACTAGACAACGGCGATCTTCACATTTCTGGCCCTGCCTTGGCAATTACACCTTTCAAATCTGGACCCACTACCCACTAATGCATTTCACCAGTCCACATCCACGCTTCGGGCATCTGAATTCACGGAACTTTACATCGTCTTGGATTCCACTCGCTCCTTGTCATCCTGTAATCCTGCACTTTTCCAATGGATTCTCTGGTACATGTAATATGTTGCCGCATCTGTATTTGTGTAACATTGTACCTTACCTAATTCTCTTTGTTTTATCATCATCTATTACCACTACAGCCTGTCATGTGCAATCTCCACAGATTCTTCCACTTGGCCTCACCATGTCCTGCTCACTGTCTAGGCAAGAGTTCCTTCAATGTGGGCATGTCGAAAGTCTATATAATGTGACTGTTACGAGGTCCATGAGTTCCTCCGATGTGGGCTTGTCTAAATTTTATATTCTGTGACTGTTAGAAGATCCAGCAAAAGGGAGCTTACCATGGGCCCTTAATTTTGTCGTGTGTCTCTCTTCTGTTACCTCTTCTGACTGCGCCCCACTTGATTGAAACAAAGAGATGTACTCAGCAAAGCTCTGTGTCCAGTTTTCAATTTAATACTTGCGTTCATTGAGCCAAAGAATAAATTGGAATATCGGGGCGCATTTTTGTGTCCGCTGTAGTACCTTCCCCTGAATGGGAAGTACTAACACTCGGTTGATTTGTTCCCATCCGGCAGTACTATTAGGAGTCTTAATTTCTCACAGACATTCTGGATTCTTAATTTTCATTCCTTTCAGATGCATTTGACCTGACTTTAATCCCCCATGCATGCGGTAAAACAGCCGAAGTACTCCAACACAGGGACACTCAAGACATAGAACAAGCTTCATTTTTATTTCTCCAGAAGTGCTTCAACATCATTCACATGTACTAGAGTTGTGGACTGTCGCTAAGTACAACTTACATCCGACTTAATAGTCTCTTCACTTAGATCATGAGGACTTGTACTCCATGAGCTACCTCCAGTCCTACACTGTATCTATGGGTGTCCTCCTTTCACAGTCTCACACACTGTCAACCCTTGCCTACCCTCTTCCGGGGTGCGGTGCTACTCTGCATATTTAGCGACTTTTTGAGTAGGTTGAGGGCAGTGGACTCTTCCTCCACAGCAGTTTGGGAAGAGTCTTCTAACAACAGTCGTGGCCTTCCTGTCCTCTCACCTTTGGCTTGGACCTTGCACTTCGAAAAAGGAAGGATGAACATGGTGATGGCACCATTGTTTATCATGAGCCTAGAAGGGTGCACTCTAGTTGATCAAGTTTTTAGCGAATAGAATCAGATGTAAAGGAATTTGCATATTTGGCAACTGTTTGGGTAGCTATTCGTTCAAATAATCTTCCCACACTGCTGTGGGAGAGGATTTTCCCTGTAAGTTAATATCTAATTTGCTGTTCAAATGTTTCAATTTGTCAAGGTATTTTAATTTATTTTGCATAAGATTGTTCCAGTCTGATCTATAACCATGGTATATCAAAACAATTGTTGCCTGCAGTGATGGGGTCCATGGGTTTTGTACGCCCTGGGGCAAATGGCACCCTCAGCTTCGCCTCGAGTGCTATGTGCCCCCTCTGGTGTACAAAACACCATGGACCCCTACACCGCAGGCAACAGTTGTTAAATGATACATTACTCCATGGTTCATCAGTTAGTGATGTGGCAACTAAACATGAGACATTACTCCGTGGTGCAAGGGTCAAGATAATGATCACTGTGCTGGTTTTTTATTTAACTTATTATTAAAATGAGAAATAACGCACTTGCAACATTTTTTTTATAAAGACATACCTTCTGGAATGATCAAGAAGTCAATTGTAACCTGGCATCATTGCCTTGACAAATGGATCTTTCCACTAATAAATTCATAATTATGCACGCAGGCAAATAAATGACCAGGGCTGCAAAAAGCGTTAGCGTCCCATTAAAACTGTAGTGAGGCACAAACGTCATTTTTCACCCTAATTCTCTGAGTGTTGTTCTTTTTTGTATGCAGGAAGCACTCAAATATTGTCATAGCTACATTTTTCTGGTTAAGGAGGGTTTCATGGGATAGGAAATAAAGAATTACAACGATGCTCTCTCACAGAGTGTACAAGGTCAAAAGAAATTAACAGGGCTCCATTTCAAGTGTGCAGTAAACAACCTTGCTACTTGGGGTACCTTGCACCTCTACAGGTATTTTGCATATGTGCAAAAGACAGCACTATTTCTAAATCCTGGCTTTATCACCATCTCAGGCTTCATCTCGGACATACAGACCGCTTGTGGGCATATAGTGCTAAAACATAAACTGTTCTTCCCTGGGGACCGTAATATGCAGTTAAATTTTGTGGTAGCAAATTGTTACTTTTTATTGGATTGAAAAACTTCAAAATTGGAGTAAAACCCAGTGACAGCACCAGATGGAGTTGAAGCAGGGATTTAGAATATCTGTGGAACAGCTCACATGAAATTGATGCATGGCTCCCTGACGTAGTATGGAGCTCATGCACAATGGTCATTTATGCATGCGTGCATAATTAGGAATGTGTTATTAAAAGGTCTGTTGTAGGGGAGAATTCCAGTAGTTTAACAAGGAAAAAAATCGTAGAAGAAATGCCGGTTTTCAACTTGTGTGTCATTGTTCCATTTCAGAGTACCGGTTGATGGCATTCATCAGTCACATGGGAACGTCAACCTCCTGCGGTCACTATGTCTGTCACATCTTCAAAGATGGCCGGTAAGTGATGCTCATCACATTCATAAAAAATTGCCACTGTGTCATGATTATGAAATTGTTTCTAAGTCAAAAATGGTAAGTAGTGTTGGGTTGTACTCGTTGTATACAGTACAGAGTGTTGTGTATCTATGTTTTCAGATCAATATTCCCAGGTATTTGTTTTACATTTGGGAATCTGTATCATCCAACAAAAAGCCTCAGAAGAAGAATGGAATGAGAAGGGTTGGTTCTCACTCTCACATTATCCACTCTTGGGAAGGAGGACGGAAACAGTTTATGAAAACATTTCACATGGTGGCATTGAAATACAGTTTACGTGAGAAGTGTCTCACCCTACTGAAAGATGGGTTTTGAGAAGGACGACACAAGTGCTTTATGGTAGATAGTGTGGATTAACCCTCCTTTGGTTTTACAGCACAAATGTGCACAAGTGCCCAAGATCACTCTCTTGCATGTTGGTGCAGTGCACAACATGACCCAGCTGTGCTTCTTTGAGGTGTTTACCAAGTGACCCAAAGAGTGACTTCAGCATAGGAGGGTTAAAACAGCTTCTCTGAATGCACAAGGAAGCTCTTTGTGCAAATGAGTACTTGTAGAGTCACACTTCGCTTGGTTGAAATCATACCAGTATGCCCTTCATGTTCCTAGGCAGTTATAAACACGGCATTTTTAATGGGTAAGTGCCCTGCAATGACACTGTTTTTATCCTGTGCAGTGCTGGGAGTGTTCATCATCATATTGTCTCCCTTTCAAGCAGAAATTGTTCCATTTCTTTGTCTGTTGTTGTAGGTGGGTCATCTACAATGATCGTAAAGTTGCCATATCAGAACATCCCCCAAAGGACCTTGGCTACTTGTATGTGTATCAGCGTTTGTGAGGCAAGTTGGTAGTGAGTCTTGGTGTGTATACACAAGTTTAGAAAGTTACTGTAATCTCAAAAGGTTTACCGCAGGCCTTCCAACCATGAGACTCACCAGAGTTCTTAGTTCTAAGTCCAAGTGTTTTGGGTGATTCCTTTGTATGAGCAGGGAAAGGTTACATCAGCAGAGTGTGAAATATGACAAAAATTGGCCCAATAGAATGTGCTAGCAATTTTGTTTTGCCATTAGGAGCTTTTGAGAGGCCATTTACTGGGGTGACATGAAAATGCATGTTGCGGTATTAATGACATCAGATCATAAAATGTATACATAAACCACAGAAGACAGAAAACTTATTAAACACAGTTATGAGATATTGTAATAAGAAACGAAAGTGAAGACTATAATGTCTAGGTACTGAAGTGTGAAATTATTTTCACATGATTCTTGCGCTAATGTCTTTAACACACATGCTTGTGCACTTGACTTATTCATATCGATCAGCGTATTGCGCAGATCGCACTGCATACTGTGTGCAACTTTGCCACTTGCCAATATCTTATCACATGTGCTTCGTGCATGATGTGATGAGATTGCTCCTTATGTGGTCATGAGCTTTTCAAGTTACAATGTGACAGCCTACTTGTGCAATATTTCTTATTGGAGGATTTTTTGTCCTCTGACCTCACTTTTTGGATAGACTTTAGTCTGGAACACACACGACGTAGGTGTTAATAACTGTTGGAGCATAAAAACGGCAAATTTCCCCCCATCCTATCCATGCACATGTACACGTAGTACAGTAATTGAACTGAAGTTGACATGTTTGGACAGAACTATTGGCATGTTATGTATGTGTGCAGAGACATTAGTCAGTCAGGACTTGACTTGAAGCCTATTTGTAAGGAGTTACCAGTACTACAGTCACTTGTACCTGCTCATTAACTTTACACATACCATGCTGTGTACTTGTGAGCCACTGATCTGCTGTTGAAATGCATTGTGTTAAATATATTCCATGAAAACAAATGCCCTAGTGTATTTACGGATGTTTCCATAAAACAAGTAACAGACCTGCGCTCATAAACATTTACAGAACATTTACAGCACTTCCACAGTTTGTCAAGCAACTGCGATAAGTGGTCTAAAAATGTCCAATAATTTCATGCTCTACATCAGTTTGTTTGAAAAAAGAGAACTTCCATGCAAGGCTTAAAACTACAACTGTCCAGTTTATTTAATGCCACAAACATATAATCTGGAGACTAGTCATGTACATGTATATGTCTTTTCTCACACCTTTGCAAAAGCCCCATTTCCCCTTTTGATCTTACATGTCTGCCTGTGGCCTGATCACTCAAACATGATTCGTGTCAATAGAAGAAAACCTCCAAAGTCACTTAATATTTCTGTACATTTCTGGTTTGTATGCCAGTTTGAATGCAATAGAGAGTATCATTTTCCATTTACAGCATTTCCAATGCTGCATTTAGATGTCACATTTATGAACAGAGCTTACAGTACCCGATATGACAAAATGCTAAACAAGTGTATCAATTGCTCAGTTAGACGACATATTACATGTATGGCAGTGTGGTAGTCATATGTCTTTCAGAGTTCAAAAAGATTAAAATATGAAGGTGCAGTAGGAGTCAATACCTGACAGTACATTCTGAGTACTAGTGCTTTTGATTATGACATGTTTCTGCAGAAAGACTCCAAGACTGGGATCTTTTGAAAATACATGGATGTTCTTACATACCCATTTCATGAGTGTCCAAACACTTGTATTCTAATTTAACCTTAGCTGGCATTGCCTTGATACTTATAGCCTTATGCTTTTTTTGTATGGGCCAATGTATTTGGAGACTTGGAGAAGGGCATGACTGTCTAATAGTTATGAGCAAGATGATGCCAAATTAAAAGTGTAGCACACATTAACATGAATAAACTACAACAAATACTTGGAGATTTTGGGCTTTTATTACTGTATTCTCCCAAAGTGTGATCACTTGTATGCTTCAGTGTCTCTCAGTGCACTGTGTAGACGTCTTTTAAACTAAGGAGGCTCAAATTTATACTCACCATAGGAAAAAGGTTCATATTTTTCTCAAGTCAACATAACGTTCCCTGATTGAACTGCATCACAAGCTGGGTGGGATCATTACTAATACATCTATAAAGATACTTTCTTGCTCTGCTGTGTGAATGGAAGACAAATCATTCGTTTTGCTCTCTCATTTTGGGTCCGAAATTGAAATTCTTGCTCTTCTTCATAAACTCTGGAAAACCCCCCAAAATAGGATGTATGCAACCTTTAACTACCCAGACATTTACGGCAGTACAAAACAACTTCGGAATGTAATCATTAGCCACTGTCTTGCAAAAGCATCTTAATACACAAAAGATTCATTAAGGCTTTGATGGGTTCATCATCACCCCCTTTGAATCGTAAAGTAATGCAGCATCTAATGTGACTTGGCACCTAATGTTGTGCTTCACTATACTTCACTTAGCATGCCAAGACCTAATATGACATGACACCTTTCTTGGCATCAGGACACCTTTTTCTGCTTGCCTTTATGGACTCCTATTACATGGTTGCATTCATTCCTTCACACATCTTATAAAGTTAGGTAAAATAAATCAACTGGCCCCCATGCCCCTGGTATTACAAAATATCCTATAAAAGAGCATATGCAGTCATTTGCAAATGTTTAAATCCACCTAGAATTTTGTTTGTATTTCTGTCACAGGGTGTGCATTATATTGTTTCATTGAATGATTGCATAATATTTTTTTACAGTGGGCCAGACAATATCAGATTGGTGCTATGAGCGAGCCCATTTGAATGAATAATGGGGTGCCGTGTCTCAAGCTGGAACATCTGGTTTGTTTTTCTACCACTCAGTACCACCAAGAATGGTCCTAAATATGCAGACGAACAGCCATCTAATGTCAAGGCATTAGTCAAAGCCATCAAAGAGGTTTGGGAAAAGGAAATCTCTGTGGACTACACGTACTGGTAGTCTTTCATCGCCAGCATGCCATGTCGTATTCAAGAAGTCATCAGAAATGGAAGAGGGCATACTGAATATTAGACTCTTAATATTTCAAATCATGGACATTTTGTCAAATAGCTGCTGAACCAAGATACTAAGGTTATACATTGAATTCAAACATGATTGCCATGATTAACTGCTTTAAGATTGGTTTTTCTTCAGGTTAATGGATTTTGGATGGGTGGTCCTAATCTTTTGAAAATGACTGCACTATAAACAAGTAGGTAAGATCAACAAACCTCCAAAAGTCTCTCGACTCATACAAAAGTTAACAAGAAGGAAAATGGATTGATCATATCAAGAGACCCAAACTAGGGGCATCTTCAAGTTGGCTAGCCACCTAGCAACACATTTCATGTTTTTAGGTAACGTTGATGCATGTCATAGGGAGGGGGTAAACACTCATTAGGAGCAAGCAGACAAAATACCCATGGTAAGGTGATCATTTGTGAGAATTTGGCATTCTCTGGCAAATTGGTACCATACTTAGCATCCCCCCTCTCCCCCTTTTTCGTTTTTTCTTCCTTTCCCCTGTTTTTATTTTCAAATTTAAGGGTAAGCCCCCACCTTGGTTCCCCAATGCCCATAACGTTACCCCATGATTTAATCACTGTGGATTTTTTGCACATTGATATTTTGGATAATGAAGGGTGGCAGTTTGACTAGGGCTGGTATAATGACAACGCTCAGGTCTTTCAGAGATGTTACAAACAATAATGTGAGGCAATATCTAAGAAAACTTTGTGGTATAAGGCCAATCAGAATGGTACTGGTACGCAATGGTGTCTGGCTGAACAAAGAAAAGGTTATACCTCAAGCGAGCTGAGTGGGGGGTCATTGAGGCAGGTTGCATGGGCATGAACTTCCTTTCTCTTTCAGTTTGCCTGTTTCAAATGTCTGCAAAAGTTGTGGTCTCAGCTCAGAATGCTTGTTTCACCATATGACCAATAGCTATGCTGTTGAATGAGCTACATGAATTACACTCAATGTCTATTGCTCAGTCAGCTGTCTGCTTTCTGCATGGGTGCTTGAGAAGATGAAATGTCAGATGAGAGAGCACACAGGCTTTTTCAATTAGCACATACAGCGGTGGATACGTGACAAAAATGTACATTAAAAAACCCACAAAATTGCTCACAGATGCTTATTTTCACGAAAAAATGTTTTAGATGTGGATACATTGCAAACTCATCATGGCAGTCATTGTCAATGGAGAAACCTCATAACGCCCACCACATTACCATTCACTTAACTACAGTATGGAACATCTAATGGACATTTAATAGGAGGGATACAGCACTGCCTGTTTCTGACTCAAGCTACATTTCTATTGTCTCTGACATCAAGATAAGGTGATCATAATCAGCTAAAGATGACAGAGAATTCTGTTGTGTGTCTCCGCAATTATGACCCGGTGTCTGATTTGGCACTGAACATGACCTGTGTTCATCCATCCAGGACAACAGCATCTCCAGGAGTATCAGAGGACATGATATCGGCAATAAGGAAGGGATTATAAGGCTTTAGCATAAATGGCCCTTCCTTCTAAATGTTAGTATCCATCAGTTAACATTACATGCTAGTCATCAATGGAAATTAAAAGAGAAAATGCTTAAATTAAAAGTCTGGAAGTAATTCTGTGTCGATGAAATAAAAAATGTACCTGTATAAGATAAGACTAAAGTGAGAGATGTAATAAACAGAAGTAGGAAATAAGATATCTACATCAGGAGATTGCAGAGTGAAAGGAGACAAAGGAAGAATTTAAACCTAAGCATCATGTAGGTTAACCCTCAATCAAGCAAACTGTTCAACGGCTCAACTTCAAACTAATAGGTTTAATCCCCTTGTTCTTTTTCAGCTTCATTTCCTGAAGTAAAAGGAGGTTATGTGAAAATAAATTCAAATAGATACTGGAAAAAGTGATACAAGTTGAGATAATGAAAACAAACCCCAATGCAGAAAGTACTGCACAGAAGACGGTGGGAAGTCAAAAACGTGTATAGATTTTTTCTCCTAACCATCGACCAAATTATTCGTTTGATATGATAGATAGGACATTTTAACAGAATAACAAAACCCCAAATTAGGATGCAATAATAGTCAAACTTAATCTCCTGAAAAAGAAATCTAAATGCCGAAAATCTATTAAGAAAAAAGCAATTTGACAATTCCTTTAAACTGGCCACTTGGAAATAAATTTGCAAGGTATTTTCAGAAATATGGATGAGGAAACCTATATGTGTTTGTTTTATTTATCCAGGGTATGCCCAAACAGTTTTTAATAAAACTGGTTTCCGTTAGGTCCCTGCAGCCACTCATAAAAATGATGCATATAAAATATGCTGACCTTTAGAGTAAAAGGATCGGATGCTGACGTCACACATCTTTACACATCACACACCAACAGTTTCTTTTAGACTGCAATAAGCTTCATCCCTCAACTAAACAGCAGTAATTCAAGTTAACAGGTGCATGATGAGCAGCAGTTGATAAGGATTTGCTCGAAGGTGATGAACTTGAATAAAAATTGACCAAATGATGATAAATCAATTGACCACTGAATTACCAGTAAATTGATAATGATGGACAGGTTGGTTGTCGGGTTGGTAATGGCTGGTCTACCCATTAACTGATTGACGCAAACTGAAAGGGCTAATTTTTTTCCTACTTCCACAATGATGGTTCACTTCAAAATTCTGTATCCATGGAAGCTCATTCTCATCTTTATGAATAGACTCATTCCTTCATTGAATTTTGAAAATCGTTTAATTTGGATTGAAGTTTGTACCAAAACTTTTTAAACAATTTTGTATCCACACTTCAAGATCATTTAAAGGAAATTGATAATTATAAGATAAGATTAAGGGAATAAAACATGAACACCCCCATCCAATTGTTCAATTGACGCACACGTGGCGAGCCGTGTGAACACAGACTCTTGACCAATCAGAATCAATCAACATGTCTTGTATCCAGACTTACATGTACACAGCGGGTATTATCACTACTCAGCAGGCGTTCGCACGTTGTTGAATAGGGAGACTGTCTCAGGTATCATAATAGCCACTTCGATTTGATAATGTCCACTGTATAAAAATGTGCTGGTACGTGGATACAAAACAGATTAATTAATATATTCCTATTAGCCAACAGTCTGGGTGCACGCGACACATGGTACTCACGGGGTGCTTTCGAGCGAGCTATTTATGTTCACCCGAGTATACTCCTGAGCGCTCAGACGGCTGGAGTACGACCCGCGGGTCATTGATAGTATACTCTCACTAGAGGGGAGTATACTCCTGTACCCAAGTGTAATGCACACTCATCCTTCTCTTGCTACTAGGAGTAACTGCGCGAACGCACCCACCACGATCGACCACATCTCAGGTAAGTGGTGGTGCCGAGCACAGCTTTCCAAAAATCCATTCCACAGATAAATAAACATTCCCTTCATGTATCATCGTTCTTTTTTTTTAAAAATTATACGGCAATTACATCTAGTTAATAGTTCACCTTGTAAGTGCAGTCAGGGCATGATGCACTGACTACAAAGTGCCCCAAGAAACAGTTACACAAGAAGTTCGTGAAAGTTTTAGTGTCGTTACCTGAATATTTGATGTGGGCAACTCGTAACAAAACAAACTGTGGTTCCATAGCTCTTCGTACAATTATATAGCAAACTTGTCTCGTTTATCTTGTCAAGTGGCTTGTTTGGACAATAACTATAGGCAACATTACTTCAAAACTTTGTTAGAGGGTAACTATGGAGCTCTGGAAGTGCCATCCGACTTGTTGAAATCCTAACATACATTTCTCGGGATGACGACACAATAAAGGCAAGACATCCTGAGATAATTTATCAAGGGGTGACAACATCCTAAAAGTTGGATAATGACATCCTCAGATAATTTATCATAGGATGATGACATTCTCAAAATTGGATGACGACATCCTGAGATAATCATTAGTTCAGGATGTCCTCATCCAGAGACATCCACCAAGTGTGATGTCTGCTTCATTACTTGTAACAGGTGGTGAGACATCACGACGTGTTATCTTTCTAATTAAAATCATGTATGGCAACAGGAGAACAGTGCTTTGAAAAACACTACCATCTCAGGCCACCTGTTTCATGGTGGTTTGTCAAGGCACCCATTGACAAATAATGTCATCATATCACTTTTATGATGTCGTCATCCTATTATAATTTAACTCAGGATGTCGTCATCCAACTTTTAGAATATCGTCATTCTGTGATGATTAATCTCGGGATGTCTCATCGAACTTTTAGAATATCGCCGTTCCATGATGATTTATCTTTGGTTGTTGTCATCCCAGAAGTAATTTTCTCAGGGTGTCGACATCTTACCTCTGAAATGTCGTCATCTCAAGAAATAGTATGTCAGCTACAGAGCTCTGGAAGTGCCATCCGACTTGTTGAGATCCTGACATATATTTCTGGGGTAAGGATATAATAAAGACAAGATTTCGAAATCCTGAGACAATTTATTGCAGGATGACGACATCCTAAAAGTTGGATGACAACATCCTAAGAGTTGGATGACGACATCCTCTGACAATGGCATTAATCATTAGCTCAGGATGTCATCATCTAGAGACATCCACGTACTACGAAGCTCTGGAAGTGCCATCCGACATGTTGAGATCCTGACTTGGTTTTTTTGTCTGGATGACGACAGTAAATGGTGATAGTGGTTTTACACTTCCACTAGCTTTTCTCTGCTCTGCTGATGAGGGTGCACTTCAGGTCAGGGTGGATTAAAATGAAACAGATAATTGTTTAGCTTGCCCCAATTAAAGGGCATTGAGAGTCAAATTTCTTTTTGGAGGAGGGATGAAATCTTTTGGAAGGGGGAATCTGAGGGTCATTTTAATGTAACCCCTTAGGCCTGTCTTCGGATGAGACTAAAATGTGGGGCTTTTATGTGTTTGGGTAAGGAAGAAGTACCGTCCAATATGCCCCATTTGGGATAATAATGTGGCCCCTATTGCTCCCCAAGATCCACCAGTGGCATGATATGCGCTGGTCTAGTTTGTTTTCCAGTACATGTGTGGCGTTGTATTCCCAACCAGTCAGCTTAAGGTCTCACCAGTCTGGGTGACGTATATCAAACTCTGGGGAAAGTCACCTGACTTAAATCTAAACTATCTGTATTGTCTCTTGAGCTATTGGCCCAGGGGTTTGGGGTCGTTTGGGCAGAAATATACATGTTTCATTTGGTACAGGAAGGAGTTAGGTAATATTGATATCGATGTAACTTCGTCGGTTTCTTCATCGCACTTTTTCCATTGTTCTTGTTTCATCGCTCTTTCTTGATTGATCAAAAGAGATCGATCGATCGATGTGACTGAAAGAAAGATTGGTCGATATGGAAGAACGATCCATCAATGCAGGGGAACGTTTTTGCCTCCATAACCACCAACTGGTAACTGATTTGGTGTGTGACCCGGTCTACTGGCACAACAATGAGCATAATTATGCGGAAGTTAAGGAAAAATATCAGCAAGATCAAATAATCTGATTAAATATACTTTTTTAGCTGATATAATCACTATATTGTCAATTTGAATTTAAGATTTACAAAAGACTAATAACACAAAAGACAACTACAATCAGCAACACGTATCCGCACTCTACAACCCTCACGCCTTACTCGGGTGACTTCACCCAAGATATCGGCAAATTGCTAGTGCTAATCTGACAACCAAAATAACGGGTAATAACTCGGGGCGTCTGCCCACACTTTGGCTGTCCAGTCTTTCACCACCTTCCTAGACGGTGACCTTCGGACAGACCTCGACAACTCCGCCCACAACTCTACCCACACACTACTGGGTGCAGACCACTAATTCAACTGAGAATTTTTTACCAGCTCATTAGTATTAAAAGTGCCCCCACAGTATCTTTTGAAAAAGGAGATTGTTTGGCCCCAAATGGTGAGATTGTGTAAATCGTTGCCAGGATCAACTCTCTGGGTCTTTGAGCTTTCATATGAGAGCAGAAGGGCTAAAAACTACGGTTGAAAAATGGTCCTAAGTG